ATAACAAGAACCTTCTTTAGGACCACTAAAACCTCCTCAATTTCCTCTAAAATCTCCTAATGCCTCCCTAGAACCACTTCACTGACCACCAACACCTCCCAAAAGACCACTAGAACATCCTCAATTCACAGTAGAGCCACAAAAAACATCCTTAATGACAACTAACCATGTAAACGATCTGTAGAACCAGGTGAAGGACCATTAGTGACCACATTGCTAGAACCTCCTCAATTAGGATTAGAACCACCAAGAAGACATCTTGAAAACCCCTCAGTGACTACTAAAACCACCCAAAAGTAAAAACCGTAGAAGTATGACCAGAAGACCTTAAAGGAGCTCCTCTGAAACCGCTAGAACCCCCTACAGAACCCCAAGAACCTCCTCACAAGACCCCCTTAATAACCAGTATAACCAACTCAAGACAAAATACTTCTTAATGGCCTCTAGTGTTGCCTAACAAACCGCCAGTGACAACTAAAATGTCCCAAAGGACCACTAGAACTACTTACAGGAATCTTAGAACCTCCTCTTTGACCACAAGAACCACTTAAAAGACTTCTAGAAACTCCTAAATGACCATTTTGTTATATAATTGTCATAATTTCCTATAGAATGTTATATAATTATACATGATTTTCCTTTGTTTTTTATATCGACTTTATACATCAGCCACCGGCAGCCCTGCTCTCTAAATATCGGCACTGAAAACTCATATTGGTCGACCACTACTAAGTAATGAAACTACAACATACACTCGAGCATACAGACGGCATTTCTTTCCAGTAACTACTGATCAGCTTCCAGCTGACAGTGAAGATGAAGGAATGTTTCTGCCTTTTGTGGTTGGATGGGAGTTCAACTGAGACTGTAATCATGCAAAGAGAGGCCGCCAGACCAAAACCACAACACAGAGAGGGAGAGCGTGAGCAGGAAACTAATGAAGCTAATCAACAAGCAAGAACCAGAACCCACACAATCAGGACGTGTTTCCAAAACCGCACAAAACATCAGAGAGAGTTTAACCACAGCGTTATGTATTCATTCGTACCTCGTGGGAACTCGCTGCAGGTAACAGAAACCTGTTCACCATCACAGTCAGAAACAGAAAAAACGATTAACAGCCTCAGAGTTTCCAGCTCACTAGGAAACTCGCCTGTGGTTCTCCCACAATGCACCACAGCATCAACTACTGTATTCTTTAATTCAGAGAGAGCTGCTGCTAACATTTACAAGAACAGACTGGTAATGTTTTACATGGATACACGTGCTCTAGCACCAACTGTGAATCGGTTTGTGGAGTCTGGTTTTGAAGCCTTGAGCGTTATGGTCATCACAATGACAGTCGGAGCCAGTGGAGGTGACGTACTGCGAGTTGAGCTGCTTTCATTGACTGAGCAATTTTGTTGTCTGTAGTTGGAAACAATGACGATCTTTTCCATCGAGGACATCCTTCAGTGTCGTTCTTTGCTCTTCTACTTTCCAGTTCTAAAATTAACTGCTAGCAGCATCTATGCTAACCGCTTTAACAGCTGCCAATGTTGTTTTTGACCAAACGGTCACTGCTCACACACACCTAGCGTTAAACCATGCCTGTGTCTCATGCTGTAGCCGTTTGGGCTGAACCACTGTGATTGGACCCAAGTGCGTAGTTTGAAGACGTATTCTTGCGTTAACTTGCGTCTCAAGCTGCCTCGCAGGGTTCGGTACAACAGTGCCGATGGCAAACTGTCTATAACATAAGCTTCACATATATCACAGCAACAGAAGAGAAAAATAACCTTTAGTTTGGTGGACGACACAAGCAAAATGAGATTTGAAAACACAACATTGCATTCACAGTACATTGAAACTGCAAATAAATTAACTTGAGAAAGTCTTTCGGTTTCTGTGTTTGTGCTGCTCAGCTCTCAGTGTGAGTCTGTTAAAGTGTGGATGTGCCTGCTCTGTCGATGCTTCCTGGATGAATAAAGGTTAAAGGGAGGCGAGTGGCTGAATGCGGCTGGAGGTTCTGTGGACATGGAGAGCAGCAGGGATTTCCAGGGATATGAGCAAATTTTCTGCTTCATAACTGCGAGCGCTGCCGCAGCGGAAACAGCCGAATTGGATTTAAAACCTCAAACATTTTATGAGTCCACAAAGTCGGTCTCCATTTCACGCTCGGTGGATGAGCTCAAAGTTTCTGTGTCTGCATGATGTCACGGGTTAGAGAGCGGCGGCTCGGAGAAACCCACGAGCTCTCATCAGCACAGGAATCACACATGGCTGCTTTTAACTGGAAACTGTAACCAGTGTTTGTGCTGCTTTTCAGGTTTAGGTTTTAATGAAATGTTTCCATGTTGGTAAGCTCTTTTGCCATATTTGAGGTCTAATAAAACACTGAAACAACTCAAGGCAAAGGTTAGATAAGCAGATTTTTACAGCAGCGTCTGGGAAATTAACACAGAGAGGAAAAACAACCCTGCATACAGACAACACGTTTCATCTGAAAACCACTAAACCTTCCATTGTATTCACTGTAAAGAGGACCTGGAAGACTCACAAGCAGCTGACAGACAAACATACTTAAAAAATTTAAAAAGACAAACTGCCTAAAAGAAGTTAATTTATTCATTACAAATCCGAGGGGAATCAAATTGCACTGTTTGGAGAGTAATCTTTCTGAGGGTAACCTGAAATTCCACCGTGAAGGTTTCAGAGGCGGAGTGTCTTCAGAGCACGTTGCCTGCCCTACGTCATTAAAAAGGAAAGTGAGTTAGGTGGCTGTTTTGTGCGGTAAACTGGAGCATTTTATTTACCTTGGAAGTCTGAAGTCGGAGCGTTGACTGTGTTCCAGTCCAAGAAGTCGGAAAACCAAAGTATATCCAGGTTAGACATTGTTAGCAATACCACTTGATAACACCTCATTACATTGTATTTTGCTCATACAAACAGGTCCACAAACAGAAGTTGGACAGTAATGTGTGTACGACACAATCTTACTTCCCGGTTCAAATGGAGCGCACCAATAATACCATTAATGAGGCAATATCAGGAGAATAAAGTTTTAACTGCTAATTCCTTCTAAATTAAAACTTTGCAGGTGTCCTGACAGTCTGCAACCAGAATAACACATTCACATTCATTTTAAAGTTTTCTGTCTCGTCACTTCCATTCTCTCTATCGAGGTCACTGGTGATATGGTTTTTGTCCTGCTGTTTGCCTGTGAAAAGTTGCCTGTGCGTAATCAGATGTTAGCGTGATCTAAGATGACGTAGGAAGAAACGAGAGCAGCCAGTGTGTCCTAAGTTCATCATTCTCCTCATCTTCCCAAAACTCATCAGAAGTGGTTCAGTAGCTTTTACAATGATGCATAATGTAAATGAAGCCGCTTTTTGAGCCAAAGCAGCAGCTCTAAAGGCCTCTCTACCCCATACAGCTTAATTTAAACATGCTCCCCACCAGCGTCCTATAAAAAGCTGTAATGCATTATGTAGATAAAATTAATGTTTCGGGACATCGTGCTCCTCTGGTTTGACTTTTACGTGCTTGTACCTCATTCCTCGATCAGGCGGAGCGTGGCCGGTCTGAGAGTTTACAGCTGAGTGCAGATAGAAAGGAGGTAGATGTGTGTGTTCTCCTCCACAGCAGGAGGAGAGTGATGGAGAGTTTACAGCAGGGATTCCCAAACTTTGCCATGCCAAGGCCCCTCAAGTAGCATTAGCTGATGGCTGGGGCTTCCCCTTTGCAACTTTAAAAACCCACTGACGATACAGCAAACAACAAAACAAACCAGTCCACATGAAACAGGAATCAGGGAGCTGTTTGCTTCCTCATATTTACATTTCTGTAAAAACAGGGGGAACAATATCACAGGGTTAAAAAGCCATTAGTAAATTAATCTGGACTATTTCAGATCTTTAATTATTAGATTCAATATTTATCTTTTTCATTATGAGCATTGTTTGGAACTAGCTAACTAACGATTAATAGAAATTAATTTACTAACAATAGTTAACTATATATAAGTATAAATCTGTCTCTTTTATCTTTTAACCATCTTCAACATGTGGTTGTCTTTTCAACAGAGACGAGCTAGCACATAGCATATCTGAGTACCGGAAAGGTGGAAGTCATTGGAGAACAGGTTGTGCATGTAGAGATGATGTGGACTCTCAGATGTCCATTGAGGTCGACTTTTTCCTGCCTGAGTCTCATCTGCTCAAATATGTTGGAATTTTTTGGGAAGAAATCAGGTCAGGGCATTAAAAACCGTAATCCCTGAAAATCTGAGGAAATATTTATGCTTCATATCACATATCAAACGAGAGGGCGAGAGACTCTTCGTGGCTGAAGTTCATTTCAGTTTGCCGTGTGAACTTATGTCGTCCTGTTAGCGCCACACCTTCAGGCTGCAGTAAAGGAAAAATAAAATAATGCTTTCATATTCAAATTCATTCTTTCATCATCAGATCTTTGTTCTCCTTCTTTCAACCCCTCTCCCCATCCCTCCCTCTCTGACATTCACCTCCTCTTACTCCCTCTTCCCCAGTCATTTTGTATGTATGTAGGTCAAATAGCTGTGTTAAATGTAAATGTCCCTCATGCATAGCAGAGCAGACCTCCCTCAGAAATACAGGGACTGAATGAGAAATGAAATCAAACACCGCCAGCCACTTCAAATGAGGGTGTGTGTCCTGGTGCGACCCCACGGAGGCTGCAACCGCCTGTGCAGTCGATGTGAACTCGTTGAAGCGGTTCACCGGCTTTAATAAAGGAGTGCGGGGGCGACCGGGTGGGCAGGCGGGCAGGGGCGACCGGGCGGGCGGGGTCACATCTGCTCGGGTCACACGTGTACACCTCGGCACAGGTGGACTGGGAAGGAAAACAAACGCGCCCAAAGAGAGACCAGAGTGAGATTAAGAGCTCAGAGTCGGAGCAATGGGAAGCAGATTTACCAAAGACGACAGCATGATGGATGTTCACTTTGTTTAGTTTGGAGCCAATAATGTAACTTACAAGTGTGATGTGGAGAATTGGTTTTAATTCAGGAAATTTTAACACAACTGAAACCATTATTCAAAGCAGACAAGTAGACAACATGTCTGAAAGGGTCAAAGGCCACAAAGGGTGTGAGCTGAACAGGAGGATCTGTTGGAAAATAATATTCATAAGTATGTTTTCATTAGCGTTTAATCAGCTGAAAATAAGATTAATTTTGTTTGTACCTTAGAATGAGACGTTTTTATCTACAGAGGGAGTGGGTACTCCGCCATGTTGAACCGTAATTTTCGGTGATTTTGTGGGTTTTATTTGAACTCCTCCTCCCAGGGAATTGATGGGATCAACTTCAAATTTGGTCAGTGTAATCTCAAGACCTTCACGATTAAAAGTTGTGCTATTTGTGACTGTATGTCAAACAGTGTGTCTGTGACTTTGCGACAAACTTCACCAGGGCTGCACGATATGGTAAAAACATCGTATTGCAATTTCAATGATATTTGGATTAATTGTGCAGCTGGTTGACAAACTTGGACAGACCTGCATCCCAACAAGGTGTTACCAGTAACCTTCATGGACGTGCAAATGAAACCTGTAGTTGAAACGAATTACATCAAAAAATGTAATTTTGTAAATTTGAAAAAATCTTGATTAAGCAGCTTTAATGAGTAATTTTTGGTGACATTAACTGAACTTAAGTGAGTTTAATTAACGTATCTGGTTTTACAGTTTAAAGCTATTTCGAATGGATAACAAATCTTTGAAGGATACACTGATGAGCTTTATTCTGTAGTGTCCTGGCCAGTTTAAACAGCGTGTTAATGGGAAGCAGCAACACTGAAGTGAAAGGCCGTCAGACTCCTCCAGTTCCTGGGTAACAGATCACACTTTGATCCCCACACTGCAGTAAAGTCAGTGAACCAGAAGCTCCACAGAGCTGCCGGTGGGGACGGTGTGAGAGTAATTACTGCCTCTGTGCGCCTGAGGAGGAAGGAAACCGAGAGGAATCTGACGTCTGAAGAGTGATTTTCCTCCACAGCGGGTCAGTGTGCACAGACGAGTCACGTCGGGGTGAGCCGAGCTGCTCTCCTCTGAATCTCAATGAGCTTTTCTCTCTTTCTCTTTTTTTTTGATGGCGAGTGTGTGACCTGAGGTGACCGCCGGCTGCTTTTACAACTGTGAGGACCATGGCACCTCTGCAGAGCTGAGCACCAGCAGACACAGGAGCAGTCTGAAAGTGTCTGTTAGGAAGAAGATTTCTGGAATAAATTTAGGGTCATTCTCTCAGTTCAGGTGTGGGTTGGACAATGTAAAACATTTCTACCTGTCCAATTACAATACTGCATTGGAATTTTGACTTTTTATCTGATAATGAGACTGATGCTGTATTGACAGTCAAACTGTGGACATATGACGGCCTTTAGTCGTGTTTCTAGAGTTACGTGTTGTTACGAACACGTTAGGAATTGTTAAAATGGGATATTTCTTAAAGGGAGTTTGGTGCAGGGAGCTTTTAGTTGGATTCAAACTGCTAATATGGATCATTGTTAACGTTTTGTCTCCACTACAGAAGTCTGATAAGGTTGTCTGATGGTATTAGTTTGATTAATTTTAACTTTAATAATGTGGGTATTGATTACTGATGCTGGTGTTATTAATGAAATTAGGTCTTTCCAGGTCGAGAGTTGGTCTATAATTAGTGTTAGTGCTAGAAGAGCTCACCAAAATCTTCTGGCGTTATCCTTAAATTAATTCCACGTCAGAGATGTCTCACTCTGAAGCAAAATCTGGACAAAGGAACCTTTCAGTTTTAGTCCTGTATCAACACGTGTGTATTAATCTTAAATCAGGCTGCAGAGATGCATGAATGCTCAAATATTCTCAGTGATTTTCACTTTATGAACTCGTCTCTGATGAAATCCCGGGGATTAAGTTTGCAGGCAGACTGGTAAATGTCATGTGAGGACAGGTGTGAGGCTGCGATATCATCATCAGAGTCCCCAACTGATCTCTGGGTAAATTTACATTCCAGCGGCCCGAGCGGCGCACACACCGCAGCGCAGTCATCTGAATGTAAATGTCGAGCTGATTGCAGAGCGAGGAGAGTCTCTCTGGTGGGAGGAGGATCTTGTGGGCGGCGTGTCCTCAGGAAGGTCACCAAAAACTGGTTCAGACCATGATCAGGTCTGCGCAGGAAAGAAGAAAGGAAAGAAGAAAAAGGAGAGGCGTTAATGGATTAACCCTTTAAAGCTGCAGTAGGTAACTTTTATAAAAATAACTTGTTGCATATTTGCTCTGTTCCTGACGGCAGTATATGAGACAGATAATGTGTGAGAAAATCGGGTCCTCCTAGTGCTCCTAATGGCATTTCGCCTGATCAAAAACCGCCAACCAGAGCCAGGAGGAGCTCGAATACAATTAGCTTCCAGTTTGGTGGGAGCGCACTTTATAACTGTGGATGGTTGTAACAAATGGGGGCTCGTCCGGGTCCATGTACTGTGGCCGTTTTATTATCATTTGTATGATAAATAACATTAAAAGTGTCGTGTTAACAACAATGAATGATCATTATTTATTTGCAGTCCATTAAATACATAGCTTCACTACCTCCTCTCCTCCTCTTCTTCCTCCTCCTCCTCCTCCTGGAGGCTGGTTCAGGTGAATTCAGCTCTTCTTTTGTTGTTTTTTTCTGCTGTGAACTTTCTTCTTTCTGTCTCCATTAAACTTTGGAGGAACTCAACCCAGAAACGCATCAATCTGATTGGTTCAGTGGGCGAGCGACCTCGATGCTCATCTTATAAAGTTGGAGGAAAACATCTCTATCTCTCTCTCTCTTTCCCTGGATAACCTCCGTCCCCCTCAGACAGACTATATCTGTGTACGGGGACAGAGAGTCAGATCGGGACAGACGTTTGGAGGGAAAGTCACCTTAAATGACCACAAACTTACACACAAATTGCTGAAAAAAGACTGAAAGTTTCCTCCAACCAAGCTGAAGAAAACCTGAACTGATAAAAACTTTACTTTGACAGTTTACCAATGCTTATACACTGATAAGAAACATTAATTCAACATTTTTGTTGTGAAAACTTCCATAATTATACAAGATATCGAGTCAATTAACAAACAAAGCACAACAAATACTTTTTTATTGTTAATGTGACTAATTTTACATAATTTTATAAATGTATTAACAGGATTAAACTTGAATTTAACAGTTTAATCTGTTAAATAAACAGTAAATATCTGTGAAAAAAAGGAACATTTCTTTGAATACATTAGACTATTTAAAAATAAATAAACTTACAGACTTACTTATTCTGTTCCTCTTTCTTGGCTGTTTACCTTCTTTGTTTCAGGAAGTAAGTGAAGTAAGCAAAGTTGGTGGGTGACAGAACCGGGCTCAGCAGCCGGACCGGGATCAAACACAGCCTCCGAGACCGACAGGGAATAACGTTACAGTACCGAGGTCAGTTACAGAGTTCCTGATGGACAGATTGATCAGTAGCCAACTGCTGCTAGCGGTCAGCCGTTAGCAGCTAAGCTAACTGACTCAGCCGACGGTATGCCAGGAGCCAAACCCGGCAAGATAACCACCTCGGTGCTGGACTCCCCGTTGGTCTCTGAGGTTGTGTTGGGTCACTGGAAGGTAGACGCTGACGCTAGCTCAGGAAACTGTCTTTAAACTCTCTTTAATCTGAAAGATGATCAACCTGAATAAAGAATCACTTCCTTCATGTTTTTCTCCTCCGCTGAAGCTCCTGTTATGAAATCTATGACTTCCTGTCTTTCCTCCCTCTCCTCTCTGAGACTGACAGCTCCCAACCTCTCACCTTCACCTCCTCCTCCTCCTCCTCCAGCCAACATCTGCTTCTCCTGTTTTCACCTCCTCCTCCTTCTGACCTTCTCTCCTTTCCTCTCTGATCCTCAAACACATTCTTCTTGTCTTCTTTTGTCTCCTTTTGTCTCCTTGTGTCCTCTCCTTCTTTCCTCTACTCTCTTGTTTCCTTCTCTCAGGTCTTATGTCTTATCTCCTTCCTCCTTTACTCTCCTCTTCCCCTTTCCTATATCTTGCTTTCCTTTCCTCTCCTATCCTGTCTCCTTGATTCCTAAATCCTTCTCTTTCTTCCTCACTTCCACTCTCTTGTTCCCTTTTCCCCTCCTCTCCTCCTTTCCTATATCTTTGCTTTCCTTGTTTCCTCCTCCTTGCTCCCTCTTTTATTTTCAACTCGTCTCCTATTTTTCTTTTCCCTCCTCCTTTCCTATCCCGTCTCCTTGCCCTCAGTAACAGAGCAGTAAAACTTGTCTGTTCTCCTCCAATTCACTTAATTTTTCCTTCCTTTCTCAGTTTTTTCTTCCTCTCAGTGTGTCATTGTCTTCTCTTCCTCCTCAACGATGTGGAGGAAGAGGAGGATTGATTTACGTGGTAAAAGATGGAGGGAGAGAGAAGAGAAAAGCTCCCACCTGTCTTTCAGCACCTGCTCCTCCTTTAAATCAAACTGCAGACAGGAAACACTTTATTACCAACGAGTTAAAGATGGAAAGAAAGAGGAATAAAAAGGTGGAGAAAGACGAAGGAAGAGAACAGAATGAACTTCTCACGTTTAAAAACTGAAAGCTACAAGAAAATAAAAACTGGCGACTACAACTCCCAGGGTGCATTTCACTAACAAACATCCACACTGTAAAACTAAATCTGTACATTGTTCACGTTTATTTTACAGATTCTTTCTGTATTTTTTATGGAAATAATAATAAAATTAGAAAAACAGCCTGTGAAAAATCTGTGACTGTAAACAATCATAAAGTTACTGTTTATTTAAAGAAAATGTCCTTTTTCACATAAAAAGATCTATAATGTTTTTATTTAATAGATTAAACTGTTAAAACTGTCAACTACTTTCCTAATTAAACATCTTATTAACCGACTCCTGATGAGACGTAGTTTTGGATACTTTGACCACAGACCATAATGCATTGCAGCTACACTACAGGTGCAGCTGAACGCAGGAAGTGTGCAGGTTGAGGAGAAGCGGGTTCGACAGAGTGTGAAAATAATTGTGAAACCGGCGGTCTGGCGCTTCAAACGAGTTCAAACATAAACACTCTTCCAAGTCGCCGCTTTTAACCGCCGAAGCTGTTCCAACGGTGATTCCCAGCGGACTCGAACGCAGCATTATCTCTCTCTCTGGCTCTCTGCTTTGAACCTGTTCACCCTCTCCTCCCCCTCTCCTCCCCTGGCAGCGCTCTGTACATTAGTGTGATCTGTGAGCTTATAGAAGAAGAAGCAGCCCGTGTTGGAGCTGAGCGCGTCGTTCTCCCCTGTAAGCTGTCCTACATAAAGTCACTGATGAACTTCACCTGAACTCCGGCTGCCGTGGCCTGTTTTAATGTGACATTTCTCCATTTCTCTCTTTATTCCACAAAATCCATCTATCCATCAAAATGATTCACCGAGTTCCCACCACGAGGAAGCACTGAGGCAGGGGAAGAACATTTTACATCAAATGTCACTTAAACGTACAGCGAGTCATTTCTGTCGCTCTCACTCTGAATCAATAATAAACAGGAAGTGTGAGGAGGTTTTGAAGCAGCATGGGATCATGGGAGTTGCTGTCTTCACCACCATTGGCGTCATTGCAGTCAGCTTCTCCCGGTTAGGATTCCTTCACGTTCATGGTTCAGGAGCCCAATTATCCACAGAGCTCTCAGTAAACAGTTTCCTGATGAGTTTCTGGTCTCAGTCTCTAGTTTCAGTCTTCTTCCATACAGCATGATGTTCATTTAGTAACTGATGGTCCCATTTAGAGTAAAACAGACCATAAAGCAGGGTATGCTTTAGGGCGGGGCTACCTTGTGATTGACAGCTCATTCTCAGTGAGTCTGACTCTCACAGATGTGGGAGGAAGAAAAGACGGAAGAGAGAAAGTAGAGGAGAAGAAGCAGAAGAGGAAATGAAGAAAGTGTGTCTGAGAAAGTCTGACGACCTTTGACCTCTGGAGGCCGACGTCTCTCCTGACGGCGATCCATCAGCGGCTAATGGAGATCTCAGCTAATGGAGGATGAAGACGGACAATTTGCTTACTCCATCGTGTGTCCTCCGTCTGTCCGTTAGCTCTCTTTCTGTCCCTCCATTCGTGTTATTAAGTCAATTTAAATAAAATAAGAGTAGAAATAACAGAGAGAGAAAAAGCATGAAAATAAAAAATCTCTCTGTCTGACTGAGGGATGGCGGCTCATTGGCCGCTGTCACAGCGTCTGATTGATGATTGGTCCCTTCAGGGAGCGCCTGTCATCCGGCTCGTGTGATTGGCTCCCCGACAGTTTGAGGGAAATCTCCCGTCCACTCGACCGATCTACAGTTACACCCAAACCTCAGGAGAGAGAGAGACTGTTACACTGTAAAAACAATAATATTCAAATCTTTCAACTACAGATTAAATCGTTTGTAGTCGAGTCCTGATCACCACGAGTCACTGAAGCTTTACCCCTCAGTTTATCAGCATAATAACACCACCTGAGAAAAGGACATGTTTGTCATGTTTTAAAATTAAAATTAATATTTACGACATCGCTACGGCAACACGGTTTAAAAAAAATTAACAAGATTCATAACATATCATCGCCAACATCTTGAAGGTCTTGTGACTAAATTTCAGATTGATCTGGTCAATCTGCTACGAGACGCACATAAAAGTATAAAACATTACATTTCCTGGTAATAATAATAAACTCTATTTAACAGCATGGCTCCGTTAGGTAGCCATGCTAGCTAACTGATGAATCTTTGATGAAGATTGAATGTGATGATATTATCGGTTGATCATTTTACAGGATTTTTTTATATAAAAATACAAAGAAAGTTTTTGTGAATGTTTAGTCAGAAATTGTTAAACAGGGCAACAATATAACTGAGGATGTGATCTTAAAGGGTTAAAATGAAATTTTTTATTTCACCTGGACTTTAATTTTTTGCTGTTTTGTGAAGAGACAGAAAACTGAGCGTTCCACAGAAACACTGACGAGCTGATTGAAACAGGACGAACTCGAGGAACCGGCAGAAAACAGAGGAGTGATGTGACTGACGGGGAGGAAGGGGATGAGCGGAAGGTAAAAGTGCAGACTCGGCAGCAGGTTTTTTCCAGACACCTGTCTAGTATTTCATTTGAAGGATGTGTCCCCCCTCCCTCCCCACCCAGCAGGCCACACACTGACTGACAGACAGCAGCTCACATCCAGAAATCCTTCCCGTTGCTCCGCTCTTTGCTAATATTTAAAAGAACTGGAGGTGTACGTGATCTGATTCTGACAGAGTAATTATTCCCCAAACTGTAATGTCAGAAAATCAAAACGCTATTGTGCAGGAACATATTACATTTCTCCCTCTAAAGACTCTCTGGAACAAATCTGAGCAGCTGGTGTTGCTCACATGTTCCTGAGGAGTTCGAGAGAAATTAAGAAAAACGTTTTAACCATTAGAAGTCGAATAAATCTGATGAGACTTTTCCACACCAATACTCGTACAAGACAAATTCATTATTTTTCATTCTCAGTGGTCTTTAGTCAGTGATCACTAATCAATATTTTTATATTTAAGATCCCCTGTGACACACTGAGGAGAATCTATATACTATCCATAGGTATGTTTTCATTAGTGTTCAATCTGAAACTAAGAACCGTTGTGTTTTCGTTACTTTAGAATGAGGCGGAGTCCGCCACGTTTAAAATGTTGAGAAGGTTTTATAGTTCAGTCAATGGTCAAGGTTGGAAAGACTAACAAAGACGGTTTTAGTGAGTTTTATTGTGTTTATTTTGATCAGAGTGTGTTTAACAATGAACTGTTAAATGACAGGTTTTTTGAATGGAGTTTGGTGGACCGTAGCATCCATTGTTTTGGGCTGAGCTACTGGTGCTCTAGTGCGCCATCTTTAACAGTTTGTTTTCCAGCTTGGTAGTTTCCTGATGACCTCTATAATAATTCAAGCTGCTCAGTATTTATCATCTCATCACATTTTTATGTAAGCGTGGAAGCAGACTGCGAAGACGGATGTTTGAACTTCGGTTTCTCGTCCTGCAGACGTTCTGTTGGAGGCGTTTGTCACAGCGAAAGGTACGTTCACCGGTTTCTGGATCTTGTTTCTCCATACAGTCCAGGTCCAGGCAGGGGGCTGAGCTGAGATTTATACGTCGGGTTTGTGTCCGGTGCTCTGGGGAGGCTGACATGTTTCAGACCGAAGGGGAAAACAGAAGAGCTCTGTAACGTCCCTCATAAATACATAGGAGCTAAAAGGCCTCTGCAGACCCAGCTGGACGCCCCGGAGCTCAGGATGACATTGTTAAATCTGACAACAATGGAATTTAAGTACGGCAACCCGCAGGGGCCACAAGTCAGAGAGATGAACCGGTTCTGCTTCCTGTGCAAGCTTGAAAGCCGAGCAGAGCAGAACGAGGTCAGAGCCGCAGAAAACATCAAATTCATCAACCACACACCCACTGTTCATCTTCCCTTTCTGCAGCTGTTACTGAGACACATGAAGGCTGACTGCACCTTTTAGAGTTGAGTTCTTCCATTATCCCAAATGTTTCCAACAACGTTCAAACCTTTTATTCAGGTAACGCTGCGTTTTACCGGTCGCCTGTTGATGGCGTCATATCCCCTTTGTGTGTCAGCGTTGTGGTTGTCTGCCAGGAGCTGTCACACACTGACTGTTTACCATCCACTGTTTAGATCTTGGTGCTTTTTAACTCTAGATTTGAACCGGATGAAGGATTTTAGTCATCGGACGTCTGGATCTTAAGTTATCAGAGAAACAAGCTGAGCTAACGTTAGCAGCAGCTCGGCTCGCAGCCCCTCCGGGACGTCCTTTGTCTGTCCAACAGCGTGGGAGAAGCAGTGATTGTTAAGGTGGAACTGCTTTATTCAGTGTGTTTAAGGTGGAACTGCTTTATTCAGTGTGTTTAGTGGTTTTAATCAGCGGGTCTGTTTGTGTTGGAGAGGAGGAGACCTCTGTGGATCATTGGGCTCCCGGTAGAAACCTCCTGAACCATGAACACTGAAGGAATCCTAACCGGGAGAAGCTGACTGCAATGACGCCAATGGTGGTGAAGACAACAACTCCCATGATCCCACGCTGCTTCACCACCTCATCACACTTCCTCTTTTATTATTGTTTGGATGAGAGAGACTCCCTAGCACCTGTCTTTACCCTACTAGTTCATGTCAAAATGGCTGCTGTGAATAAGGTCTAGGACGGCCTCCTCCAGGACCTGGACTCTGGTGGAGTCTGGATCCAGCACATGAGGGTCGATGCTGAGGCTGAATGAGCGGCCTGTATCACTACTTGCACCCCCACCAGGGGTCGGCCTGAATCTCATTCAACAAGAACTAAATGAAACTGTTTTAAAGTTTATATTACACTGTAAAACCAGATAAGTTAATTTAACAAAAAAAAACTGATTCAAATTTTGAGTGACAGAAACTCAATTTTGTTGAAAGTTTTTATTGTGAAAAAACTAGTAAAAATTACTTAATCAAGAATGTTTTTTAACTTACAAAATTGAGTTTGTGTCACTTAAAATGTTCCATATAAAGTTTCAACAATTTTTCTGATTTAAAATAACTTCACATCAGTCGGCTGTAGTCTATGTACAGGTGAGTGCTGCCACCTGGTGGAGGAGCTGTGACACTACACAACAAGAGACTTCCCTTCAGGATCCTGCTGAAATACACATTTATATCTCTGTATTCTTCCAAAACTGTCTTTTCTGCTGTTATATAAATTTATGTGTCAGATTGTGTTTAATGTATACGCCACATGCATTGTACCATCTGCTGTGTGTCAGGTATGTGTTCCTCATATTCTAACAGACTATTCTTGATTTACACTAATACATTATGAAATAAATGTATTTTATATAGAGCTTATTGATTTTATTTTTGTCTTCATCTATTTTATCTCATTTTTAGTGTAGCTTTTATTAAACACTATTGTTGTAAAATCAATGTTATTGTTATTTTTCTAACTTCTTCTTCTAACAAACAACGAAGGCAACAGGTTACCGGCTATGTCTGGGTTTGACTGTTCTCTGGTCCCACAGTGCTGACTCAGCTTTGGGATGGGAGATCGCCATGGTAACCTCCGCTGCTTTTACAGAAAACACAACTCCCCTCCTCTGAATTAGTACCAATTCTGACTTTTATTGGACGGGGTTCAACCTGATGTTACAGAGTGTTTAAGGCACTTTAACAGTTCAAATACAGAGTGAGTTCTTTAAGTTACAGACGTTAGATCATGATTCGAGTCTACAGACGGACAAACTTTCTCTAAAATGACTGAAGGCTGCGGTGACAACGAAGGCAGGTCGGAATAACTGAACACAAGACGAGATTTGTTCCAGTTACAAAATAAAAGCCAACCGTGAAAGTAGATCTGTTGAAGGGATTTCAACCTGTGGAGAGTTAGGGAGGCTCAACAGTGCGATATTACCGCCTATTATTGTTCTCGCTAATTAGTTTGTGAGGGAAAGTTTAATCTCAGTACCTGCTCAGCTCCACTCTGCCTCTGTAAACACTTTCAGCTGAATAATATAATAAAGCCTCCAGTTAACAGAGTCACTCGTTAAACACCGGCGAGCTGCAGGACGTAAACGCCACAGCGGTGGATAATCAGCGGACCAGTTGGCGTCTCCTGTGTGGAACTGTAATCCTGAACTGATCTTAACGTGAGAAAATCAGCCAACGCCGCAAAGACACTTAAAAATCAACGTACCCATTCGTTCTTTCGCTGTCTTCAGTTTCAGAAGCAGAAAACAGTCGGGGTTCTGATTTAAAGCATTTTGGCGTAGAGCTAATCAGCTCAATTTCTCAGAGCAAATAAAAACCATCTAGAAGATTTATGTTGGATTATGTCGTTGATGTTTCAGTCCTGATCCTCCATCTGCTTCTACCACAGTCTACATTACAAGGACTATTTATCATCATCAGAAACACACACACCGCAGATACCCCTACCCTGCCCCTACCCCTACCCAGGACCTCAGACAGGAGGTTCTGCCTCATTGGGACCCGTCTGTGGTCCCCATTCGACCTGCGATGTTCATACCAGAAAAGGCCCCAACAAGGCAACCGCACACTCAGAGTTTGGCTTTAGCCTGGAAGAAGCTCATGACGGCGTTGAAACACTCGTCTGACATCCAGCGCTCCACCAGACGCTCCACCTCCGCATCGTTCACCGCGTGGAGACGCTCCTTCTCCATCGACCGGATCAGCTGCTTAGAGAGAGCCAGAGACTGAGAGACAGACAGAGAGAGAGACAGACAGAGAGCGAGAGAGAGAGAGACACAGACAGACAGAGAGACAGAGCGGAGATTAACTTTATTAATCCACACTCTCGATGTTTACACACACAGGACTTATAATAATGCAGTGATGCTGATCTCTGGTCCCCAACCTTTATTATCACTATTAAACTGACTGTATTTACTGTATACTTCATATTGATTAGTATCAATAACAGCTGATCAACTGATCAATGAACCAAACAGTTCAGTTTCAATCAGTAACAGCAGTTTGATTATTTCCTGTGAATATTGATCAGAGGTGAGTTTTCTTGATATATTGATCCATTCTCTCTCTGTATTCTGTATTTGTATCATTTTAACAATCAGACTTAATATTCTTCTTTCTGACAGATTCACTGATTATTGATTATTGATCTATCAGCTGTCAACTTTACAGCTTAAATAATAATATACACTATACGCAGTAGGCCTATATCTCAGTAACACTCTTTAAAATCACGAAGGCTCTACGAAGCTCTGATGATAGAAGAGTTTAGTGTTAAACATCCATAAGGGGAGAAGTAATAAAAACTGTGAGCTGATTAAATATGTAAGTGTGAGTTTACGTTGGGAGGCAGCTTGGCGTAGGCCTTCAGTCGGGTCCAAACCTCCGACTGGAAGCTGCTGTCGGGGAAAACCTCAGTGACCAGGCCGAGCTCGCAGGCCTGAACCGCCGTCAGCTTCTTATTGAATAGCAGCATCTCACTGGCCTGGAGGAGGAGAGAGTAAGAACATCTAAAGGCTTCATGTATCAGGATATCCCACAGCGATCAATCAGCCACGAGAGTGATCTCTCTCTTCGTCTGATAACAACAAATCCATTCTTCATTTTCAATCAATTAATCTGGACAACAAATGGACAATAACTTTCTGTTGTGTTTTTAGTAGCATCCCAACAAACTGCCCCGTGTCTAATGTGTGACTGTTTACACTCCTTAAACTTACTTATAGAGAATTAAACCTTTAGTTAATGGGACCATCAGTTACTAAATGAACATCATGCTGTATGGAAGAAGACTGAAAATAGAGACTGAGACCAGAAACTCATCAGGAAACTATTTACTGAGCTCATTGTTCTCCATAAGACTCCATACTATCAGAGTGGAGCGTCCCCCTGCTGGTTGATAGAGACACTGCAGCTTTAACACACTTTACAGACCTCAGTCGAATCGTGGAATTTCACTGGTATTGGTATCGTCTAATACGATGTATAATGTATAATAATGTGTGTGTGTGTGTGTGTGTGTGTGTGTGTACCTTGGCGTTGCCCATCATTTTGGGGAAGGTGTAGGAGGAGCAGCCTTCAGCGCTCTGACCCAGCTGACTGAACGGAGTGTGGAAGGTGGCCTGTCAGAGAGAGTCGCTGATTAATGAGGTCATCTCAAAGAAACCTCAGGTGTGTGTGTGTGTGTGTGTGTGTGTGTGTGTGTGTGTGTACCCTCTCTGTAGCGTAGACCAGGTCGAACAGTCCCAGCACTGTGACTGAGACTCCTACAGCTGGTCCGTTCACCACGGCAATCAGCGGCTTGGGGAAGTCAATGTAGGCCTTCACGTACTTCCTGTAGAGAGACAAACCACGGAGAAGATTAATGCTGCATTCACATTATTGATTTATATATATTATTATTGACAGTTTATATAATGAACAGAGCTCTAACAGCCAGCAGGGGGCAGCTCCACTCTGATAGTATTGAGTCTTATGGAGAAGTCGACTGATGAACTCAGTAAACAGTTTCCTGATGGGTTTATGATGATGTGTTGCTATGGCGATGGCGTATTCTTTACAAAGAATGGAACTCCCCGGAGTTCTTGTGCTTTCTCGTCTCGCAGGTTCTTATCGATCCTGGTGGAGCCTCCTGCCATGGTCCTGCTAGATTGCCATTGCCAATACTGTTGTTGCTGTGCACCTGTCTGTCTGTCTGTCTGTCTGTCTCTCTCTCTCTCACCCCAACTGGTCGAGACAGACGACCACCCACCTAGAGCCGGAGGATCTGTCCTAGGTTTCTGCCTTTTAACAGGCAGTTTTTCCTTGCCCTTGTCTCCAAGGTCTTGCTCATGGTGGTACTGTTGGGTCTCTGTAATTAATGTTATAAAGAGTTCGGTCTAGACCTGCTCTATTTGAAAAGTGTCCTGAGATAACTTCTGTTATGAATTGGCGCTATACAAATAAAATTGAATTGAATTGAATTGAAACAATATTAATTATTAGCAGCTCGTTTCTGTCCCTTCTCCTTGTCCCTCGCCATTTTCTCTGTCCAGAAGCGGGAGGCGCAACATGAAGCACACGAGCGAGGAATCCTTTGATCGTGGTCACCTGAGCAGCTCGCCGCCCTGTTTGGCCATGGCCTCCACCCCTCCCTCGGGGATCTTGGTGAAGTTGGTGAGGTCGTTTCCGCTGCAGTAAAAATCTCCAGCACCTGCAGTGAAGAGTGTGTGTGTGTGTGTCAGAGTAATCTCAAACCGTTCACTCCTTATTGATGCTCATTAACCCTCTCATTATGTGGGCTGGAATATTCCTTTAACCTACACAGGAAGTTAGTTTTGGTCCAAACGTTACATTAAAATTACATTTATATCACATTTCAGTCTGTATGTGTCAGTACATCCTCTTAATTATTATTATTGTTATTATTTATACGTGTAATCAATTATCATGATCTGGACCTGGATAAGAGAACAGGTGGATGGATTTATAAAGTTATCAGGTTATAATAATAAAGTTATATTAATAAAAAGCATGAATTTATTCATTTATTAAGATTAAGATTTAATTAAAGAAATTGTGTGTGTGTGTGTGTGTACCAGTAAACACTGTGAGGACGGAGTCGTCTTTAGCTGCCTGCTCCAGTGCTGCAATAATCTCATTGTACATCTGAGAGAACAGAGACACACTGATCAATAATTATAAAACAAAAGATCTTAGAGCCAATTTATCCATCTGCATTTAAAGCTCCTCATTAAATAATAAAAGTTATATTTTACACAAATCCAACACGGAGCAAACGTACAGAGCAATTTATACTTTAAAGATCAATCAATATATCAGGAAAACTCCTCTCTGATCAATATTCACAGGAAGTACTCTGTTCACAGGACGTAGGAGGGACCGGTCTCCGGCGCGAGCACTCACCTCGGTGGTGATGGCGTTTTTCTTGGCCGGTCGGTTCAGTTTGATGGTGGTGATGTCATCCTCCGTGGTGACCAGCAGCGTCTGGTACGTGGTGGAGCTCCCAGCAGCCTCTGCAGCCACCTGGGCGGAGCTTCCACCTTCCGCCGCCACCAGGGAGCCAACCAGGTCGCAGTACTGCTGCCTGGCTTCATCCTGAGACAGAGAGACGGTTTGTCACAGGTTAGAGACCCTAGTATCTCACCAACCTCACGTTATTGATCCCTGAAAGCACCCAGCGGTTTATGAAGCCATTAAAATCAGCCCCACATTACACTAATCAATAATCGTAATCCAGTGATATCATATCGATTACTCATTCTACTGATGATACAGGAGGGAGGCTGAAACTAATCAATACGTTCATTATCAATCAACTTCTTATTACTGGATTCTTCAGTTCACTGTGACAGAAACTTAATGAAGGTTTTATCTGACGGCGATCACACAGTGTTGATTATAGATTATTGATCCCAGAGCAGCTGTACCTGAGGTATGGAGCCCAGAGACTTCCACGCATCCCATTTCACCTTGTTGACAAAGTCCAGCATTCCTGGTTTGGGAGTGTTACAGGGACCCTGAGTGGCCTGGAGGAGGAGGAGGAGGAGGAGGAGGAGGAGGAGGAAGAGCACACGTCACATTTAGTTTTACAGGAAGACACAATGATTGGATCTGATATAAAAATAAACTGTTTGTTAAATTATAATAAATAAATCAAATAAACTTGAACATCTGGAACATCTGGAACGCGTCCCACCTGTTTGAAGAGAGCGTAGATCTTCAGTTTGACCTCGTTGCCCGGGTCGTTCTTCAGAGTCGACAGTTTGCCCTTGGCCTGCTCAAACTGCTCCACCGTCACACCTAAACACACACACACAGACACAGACACACACACACACACACACACACACACACATTTGATTTTAAAAGGTAAAAAATTAAAAACTGCCCCTTTTTATATCTTAAAACAACTAAATAAAAATGAACACTTGAACAAACGTCAGCGTGGGAGATCTGCTGCTGCCAACATTAATATAATAAACATATTGTCTCTCCCATCCACAGCTCTCCCTCTCCTCTTGGGCCGGCATTCAGCAGGTGTGGCACGTTTGACCTTCTCTCTCTCTCTCTCTCTCTCTCTGTCTCTCTCTCTCTCTCTCTCTCTCTCTCTCTGTCTCTCTCTCTGTCTCTCTCTCTCTCTCTCTCTCTCTCTCTCTCTCTCTCTCTCTCTTGTTCCTGTAAACAGTGTGTTTGTTTGACCTTCTCTCTCACTCTTCGGTCTCCGGATCTCTGGATTAGCTTGCTCCCGTATCTCGGATTTAAAGAACTCATTTAATTTGGAGCTCAGCTGTACGATATCTAAAGATCCTGACATTGCAGCAGATACTCACCCATCATGGGGGAGGCTGTGGTGTGGAACTTCAGGCTGGGAACGGGGGAGAATCTGACCAAGCTGGAGACGGAAGAGGAAAACTGTTAGTGCGTCATGTGAACAAGAAACCTTTCCCCTGATTGATTTCAGGACCCAGATGTTTCATCCTGATGTGACTCTGGTACCTGCTCTCTGACAGCTTTATGGGATTGTAGATTTGTCCTCAACCAGGTGATCATTAACAGTCAGTTAATCCCAAACATTTGCTGGTTCCAGCTTCTCATATACAAGGAGTATGATTGTACATGTTAATTCAAAGGTGAGGATTTGACTTTGGTTTTAAAATGTCAGAGTTAATGATTATTTAAAGTGTGAAACATTGAGGAGGATCTACTGTCAGAAATAGAATATAAGATCCACAGGAAGGTTTTCACTAGTGTATAATCACCTACAAACCAAACACTGACTGTAGTTCCAGTATCTAAATTACATATGCACTTAAATCAATACTTCTTATTGATATTTCATCTCTCCTGTCTTTATTTATTTCTTACATCTGCTAAATAAACATAAAATAAATGAATCAATAAATGTACATGACTATTTCCCAGAGTTCAAGTCTTATTATTATTATTATTATTATTATTATTCCAATGTCTTATTATTATTATAATGTTATTATTATTAATATTAATATTATTATTATTATATTATTATTATTATATTAATATTATTATTATTAATATTAATATTATTATTATTATTATATTA